GTGATATTGAGCTAGGTGTCCGTTCCGTACCCGTTCCATACCTGTTCCATACCCGTTCCAGACCAAACAAAGTATTTAGCACATACTCACCCTGGATCATTGTGGGAACCAGCAAGCGTCAGTCATCGTTCCACACCCTCCGGATCAAGTATGCGATCCAGACCCTCCGGATCAGTCAGACAGCAAACCCCAACCTCGGGCACGTGGTTTTGATCAGTAGCCATGTGGGAGCCATGAGCTGATCATAGATGCCACATTACAGTATCGCAGATTCAAAGGAGAGCATCTTGAGAAACTCCCATGCGCTTCTTTGAGCAGGACAGTCGCGGGTGGAACAAGGCCAGTCTGCTTGAGTTTTGCTATCTTGAAAGGTCCCATGCTGATGCCTCCCACCCAGGACATGTCGATCAGTTTCCTGCTGCCAGCTACAATGGCGCCAGAGACGGTCTTCATAGCGTCGCCGTGACCTACCTGAAATGGTATCAGTGAAGTATCATGCATCATCAAGGGGGGCCATTGTTTGTCCGCGGAACAAGCTGATGAGCTTCCTTGACACATCCACGCAGTTTCTTGCTGAACAAGGAATGCGCACCAGAAGCTTAGTGGCGAGTACCGTCATTGCGAAGGGCAGCTTGCCAATGGCTACCCGTTCTGGAAACGTGCTGGCTTTGGGGAGGAAGCCTACCTTTACAGTGGCAGAAATGGTAAGTGGCATCTCGGTCTGGAAAATCTTCCCCGTGAGACTTTGCAACCTGATCATCACGTGCTTTTCTGATCTGAGGTATGTGGTCGGCAGAGATTTGGTGCTTGAAAGGCACGCTGCAGCTGGAGTGCTGCTGTTTGGAGAAGCAAGCACGCACGGAATTGCAGGGACTTCAACTGCAGCTTCGGTGGTATTGTCTCATCCAAGCCACATGCAGGCTGGGAGAAGATGATCAGAACATTCATCGTCAGAAGTTAGAAGTCACTTTTTTCTCCAAGGTATTTGGCCAGTTGTCTCTTGCAAATCTCGCGCAGCCGCACATCCCACTGACTGAGCAGGCTTGCTGCCGCAGACCTACGCGGGTGCCGCCAGAGGCCCCCAGAGCACAATTGAGTATGATTTTCAGTATGGTCGCTATAGACCCAAACACAGGGTAGCTTTTTGTTGTTTAATCTTGTGGTAGTGCTTCGGTTATGATAGTTCAGTATAACATGTTTGCAGGCTGTGAGTGCCACTCATGGCAAAGGGCAAAGTCACAGCTTAGTTCTTGTCCTTCCAGGCTGGGGCATCAAGACCAGTGAGGGCTGGCAGCAGGATGATGACATCCGCACCTTGCCTATCCAAAGTACGCCACTCTCACCTTCAGCTTTGCAACAGGGTTCTTGTAGCATTACCCAGGAATAACCACGACGCCCTTTGAGAAGCCACCTGAGCTTCTGTGGGTGACATCGCAGCGCAGGGCTTACATCGGAGTTTCTCAACATTGTCCTTGCATAAACCTGAAAGGGGTCCCAAGGGGCGCTCCTATGTTGAGAAACGCCTGCATGGATGTGGCCGGATATGCATGACTTGCTGGCACTGCAATGCCTCAAGTCTCCTCTCTGACCATCAGCCTTTGCTCAGGAAAGGCGCGCAGAGCTTCTCCGGACGCTTTGAGCTCCTGGAAGGCCTAGCGGTTGGGTTTTGAGAATCCAGCATTAGCACGTGCGTAAAGGTACTTGTGCTAGTACACTTGCATCAGTGTTTTTTTGTCACGAGCATTGTTGTAGTAGAACTTTCAGAAAAAAGTTATGGTGCTTGGATATGTCAGGCTCTGGATTTGAAAGCTCCTGGTATCTGCTTCATAAGAAAAGGCTCTGTCGCTCAAGCTTTCGAAATGAACCGCGTTGTGGCCTGAGCTGTACAGTTAGTTTTTCTTCCGCCAAACAACACTGTCCAAGTGAATTGATGCATCTAGTATACTACCCATCCATGGTTTTTGTATGTGTCATCCGGAAAAAAGAAGATTCATCTGGAGCTGGAGTCTGATATCTTTCAGTTTCAAAGCGTTTGACAGAAGGGAGGGAAGACCAAAAGGCTAAAGCAGAGAGCCCTAAGACCCAAACCCAAAGGACATACCTTACTTCTATAATCCTTATATGATCCCTGTATAATCTCTTTTATCATATAACTTATAACCCCTAAGCAATCCTATACTCATCAAGGCCCGATCCTAAAAAACTCAAGCGCGCCAGGGAATCCAGCACCTCAACCTCACCATCGTCACTGTAAATCATGAATCCTCAGCCCTAAAAGCTACTTGAGTCACGAGTGTGCTTACAACCCCACTGGTATATGCTGACTTTCCATCCCATCCCACCCCTGCATTCATGTAGCCTTGTATGCTTAGCCCAAACCAGAAGTAATTCGGAAACCCTGTCCTCCACACCACAACTGCGAGACGACATCGCGAATCTGAACCCCCAAGGCCTAAAACACTCACGCTCAAGTTTTAAACGCCTCGCAACCCGAAAGCGAAGAAAGAAATCCTGCAACCTCAAGCTACACATCCCAAATCATACGCACACTTCGCAACCTCCAGGAATTTCACCTGTAAAACGTCTAGTTCTGTACCCGATTGCCTTAACACAACATATCCCACCCCTCACGAATCTTGCACCACTGAAGATCCTGTAATTCCTCGGGCAAAAGGTATACAGGCCGGCACAAAAAACCTTCCTCCACAGGAAGTCAAGGCAAACTGTCATTCTACTTATATAATCTACCCGAGTACAAAGGGAATCACTGATAGTTGGTGACTTCGTGCAGGACCCGTGTTGTGGTTCCATGTAGGAGTAAGTTTTAACAACTCACGTGAAATGACCACAAGCGCCTCATTCCCGAAACCTCAAAGACCTGATTTCAAGCCTTTCCCCAACCAACTGGTATTTAGTAAGAAATGAAGGACTGCTTTCTAAGCACCAGGGAGCCTGCCCGACATGCTGCGGCCTTAACCCCAAATCAAAATTTCAAACCTCTACCACCGCTTAACCATTTCCTAAGCACAAACCTCTTAATGTATGTTTAGATCCAAATCGTATGCCCGCCCAAAGCAGGATTTCTAAAACTGAAAGGCCTACAGCGTGAAACCTTCGATATTCGACCGTGATCCAATAAAAAACTTGCACACTCCAATCCCACAATGTTGAACCCTGACCTTCACATCTTGCAACCGTGTGGTGGAAACTGGGAGCTTATGTCCCTAAATCCAGTTTACGCCTCGCACCCAACTCCTACAAATGTCCTCCAAAATCAAGACTAAACTCAACACCTTAATCCTCAGTCTCCACCCCCAAACCTCCATCCCTGCACCTCAACGCTCACTCCCGCAACCCGAAACCCTACACCAAATTTTTACAGCCTTGAGCACTCGAACCCTGAACTCCAAAAGCTTACATTTCATAAACAATCCCAGACCCCAATACTGAAACCCAAACCCCTAGAACTCGGAACTGCAATCCCTCAAGCCAGAAAACCAATGCAATGCTCAAGCTCATGAAAACGCCCGGCCCTGGATCTTAATCCAGAATTCTCATGCTCCACTTAAGTCAGAACCCCAAGGGCCCTATAGCCTGCATGCATACGGCCCTAATCATAAGGCCCAAGCATAATTTTGCAGAGGCATGCTGGCAAATGGACATCCCGTCTGGAAGCGAAGCGGTGCTGGGGCTGCAGCCTGGCTCTACAGTGGCACGAACGGACGCTGGTCCCGTGAGTCAGCGGTTTGCCTTTTGTCTAGAGGGACACAGAAGTAGGAGGGGTCGTGGTACTGGTGGTAGCGAAACAGCAGTAGCAGAGCAATAGCAGCAGCCGCCGCCGCAGCCGTAAGCAGCAGTACAACTCTCACAAGTACCGCATTTTTGAGAAGCATGGCAGCTGTTTGTAGCACATGTGTGCCGAGAATCTGCTCCCAGCAATTTCTTCTAGCTTCTTGCACGTTCGCAAGCCCCTAGCCTCTGATCCAGCGGTCAACTTGGGACTTAACAAGCTTAACTGAACAATGGCGCGGGGCGTGGATGCCAAGAAATTAGCGGAAGTCTCCGTAGCTCGCCAAAGCTCGATTCGTCGGACAGGCAATCCCAACCTCTGCTTTTTTGACAGCTTCTCTTGGCATCCCTCGTCATACTTACGATGCTTTGTGCCGTGCCAGCACCACTCCAAGAGCTTTTGGACCAAAAGCATGATGACGAGCACACTGGACTGCGACACAATCCCAAACTGTGAGGACGCTCCATGCCGGAGCAACCCCAAAAACCCACGTGCATAGGATGCTGCACGCGGGGACTGTAGCACCAGCTAGGTGCCCGGCGCAGACGCCTCAACCAAATCATTATTAGCACCTGCGACGCAAGGAACCCACAGACTTGGCACGCTGTTTGGGAACGCTTGTCAAAAACCATATGTACACATATGCCTTTCCATTGGGATTTCCATGGAACAGATAGCTCAGGTCTTTTTGGAGAAGTTCCAAACATTTGCTAGGCTCCACGTGTTTCATTCCAGGACGCTGGTGCATTGCCGGGAGCGAGGTGGCCAACCACAAGTTCAGATGCAGTGTGGCCCAGATTCGTTGCGCCCCACACTTCGGCTCCATGCCCCACCGACAGGGCAGCTGGCTGCTGCAGCATGAGGACATCAAGTAAGGATCAAAGTCATGGTGCGCAGAACTTGTGTGCTCTTTCTTGAAACTGGTGAGCATGTCCACTGTGCTGAAAGGATGGCTGGTGTGAAGATGATGAAGTCCAGCTGTCAACATCGCCTCCAGCAATGTTGCAGGACTTCCGCGGTCTCAAGACAATCTGTAGCTGTACTTTTTCGACGGCTATATACAGTAGTCCATGCAGTCGTCAGCAAAAGCAATCTCCTGTTGCAAAGTCCTGTTTGTCTTGTAGGCGTTTAGGTTTGAGGAGCTGGTACTCGACATGGCAGGTAGGTGGTCGTGAGTACACAACACTCACCACTCTGGGATGTTTGTCACAAGCCGGAACGCCTTTCAGCCGGTAAAGAACCACAGAGATTGGAATTTGAATGCGCGCTGGATGTTAGCAGTGGCTGTCTGAGGATCTGTACTTGTTGAGCCCAAATGCGGAGCAGAAGAAGGCCGCTGAACAAAAAGTTCAGTCTTGCGCACGCATCATGTGAAGAGTGGCTATATTAATTATCGTAATCTGCTGTCCACGACCGTGGGAAAGGGTGACCTCGACAGGCAGGCAGATATCAGCTTGCGTCAGACACCCTCGTCCATGGCTATCCGATGCTGGGTCGCATCCAAATCTCATTGGAAGATAATTGATGAGTCATTGAGTATTCTTTTTGGCCACGGTGGTGGGCGTGAGGAGGGTGACTTCATAGGTTCCTACCATTCTCATCATACATGTCTACTCTGCGCCCTACTAGCAAGGATATGGAGAGGCGGACACAGCGACGAGAAAATTCTCTACACGGGTAGCGACGGCCGATGGTATGTTGGCAGTACCTCAGCTGCAGGCCTTGGCACAGGTTTTACCAAACGAGTCCTGTGACCAGAAAATTTGGCAAAGATGATCGCAAATTCAGAAGGCAGAAACCTCCGTTCAGGTTCAAGCGAGGTGGTGCAGAGGTCGTACGACTGCACCCTTGGCCGGTTGGCCTCCGTGGAACCTCATGGTGGTGCCACTTGTCAGCCAACAAGAATGATAGCCATAAGTGTCTTGATGCGCCGCCCGGCAGGGTGGACCTGTCACGGTATCAGTTTAGACTCAGTTCAGTTTAGCATCTTTGTCAGACCGATTTTAAAAGGTTATGCCAAATGAGCTGTTCGACGCACCCTGGCAGTACAAGACCGATGAAGGCCGGCAAGCAGTCATGCGAGTTCGCAGCGCATACATAACTCAAAGAAACAAAATGCTTCATGTGTGCATTCCAGGATGGTGCTTGGACGCTGACATCTCCCTGTCTGCAGAGCCTGCAGAAGCCGTGAAGCAGCTCTATGTGGTCTCGCGCAACACGCACTGCCACGTAAGCGGCATCTATTCCTTGCTGCCAGGCAGGAGAGAGAGGCCAAGTTGGTCAATCGAAGGTGCTTGTCTCGTGTACGTACGCTTGAAAGGCCAGACAGTGAACGACCAGCCTCTGTGGAAGAGAGAAGGGTCCGGTGAAGAGCTCTGGCTGTATGGCGGCACAGACGGAAAATGGCATGCTTCTTGTCTCGCAGAACGGCGTGCAGCGCTGGAATGTCCCTAGATTCCCTAGATTCTTTGCAGTGTTGCCCTGGACTCTGCTTTGTTTGGCCGAGGTTTCTGATCGACAGGCAAGGTGGTCTTCGCTCATGCGCATGCTCCAGTGGAAGCACTTAGAGCCTTGATCTCCTGATATCTTTGAAGGCCTACGAGAAGAACTTTGTTGGTGAAAGAAGCTTCATCTTCTCAAGTCCGCATGGCGGCGTCATGCCGGACATGTTGACTGGAAGGTGGCATTCGCCCGGCTCTCAGCAATGACAGCTGAAAGGCCTGGGCTGTGGATAACGTTTGGCTTTTCAAGCCTTCCATTTTCTACTTTGACTGACTTGGATCACTGCCCTCCTTCATCCATGTCACGGCTGATGCTCTCATCTGCTGTGCAAGCACTGGGGCCTATAACATATCCTCGACGTCAGGCTATGAGGGGGGAAGCTGCCAAAAAAAAAGCACCAGCAGGGAAAGCGTGATAAAATTTAAGAGTCTGCCTCCAGATCTTCTGCAGGTTTTGAACAAACCCGTCAAACCCCGCAGTGAAGACGAAGGTCTGTGAATGCGTTCGCGGATCCGGAAGTGGCCGTGCTGGCCCGCTTGCCGGAGTACCCGCAAGAACTGACGCTGCTGCTGCCTAGTGGACAGCAGCTCCCTGGAGGCAAATTTGAAAGAGCTTAGGGTTTAGTATAATAGGATATATTGGGGTTCTATAGGGATAATGGAAAAGAAAATGGAAACTACAGGGATGATAGGGGGTATATTGGGGTATGTATTAGGGTTATATTGGGGTTATATAGGGATAATCGAAAAGAAATGGAAACTACCATATAGGGTTTAGGGTTTAGCTGAGGACACATTGACTCATGGTGAATCTCCCCCTTGTGGCCTCAGGAAGCTCGCGGGCAAATACCACATGGTCTTGGGCTCTGCGGCCAACGGACAATGTGTGTGGAAACGTGTTGGAGCCGGGGAGGAGGCATCTGCTTCTTTTTGTTTCAGACGTCGCAGCCTATGGCAGCTGTAGTGCAAAACCTTGACAGGCCTGGCTGTACAGTGGCACCACCGGTCATTGGCACGTAGGTGGCACGAAAGCCTACGCCCTTGCCTTCAATTGCAGCTTTTGCCAATTTGACTAGACATGCGAAATTGGTCAGACTTGAAAGAGTGTAATTAGGCGCTGATGTGCTTAGGTAGCATTGGCAATGTCGCTTCCCTGCATCCGCATGGAGGGACGCTTCCTTGCTATGAAGCTCGCGGGTGGAAAGTCAGGGACTCCGAAGGCCAGCCGGGGTAATTCTTGCGCAAAAGTCGGGTACAAAAACGACTTGAGATATTGCATGTCGTGCAGCTGTCCGGCATCCCACTTGTTGTCATCATCATTTCTGCTGCTGCTGCTGCTGCTGCTGCTGCTGGTGCTGCGTCTTACTACAACCACTACGACGACGATGACGACATCCACCTCACTACTACTACTACTACTATTACTACTACTACTACTACTACTACTACCGCTACTACCATTACTACTACTGCTGCTGCTACTACTACTACTACTACTACTACCATCATTATTATTATTATTAGTAGTAGTAGTAGTACTACTACTACTAGGCGTCGCGATGCTAAGTGATCATATTGATCGCACTGTTTTCTGGTGTGCATAAGTTTGGGCGAAGTTGCAAAAGTACTGCGTTTTGCATCATTTCGCGGGTGCGTGGAAAGTTGAGGGGCAAAAAATGCGGGAAACTACTTGTGGGTTGATTTATCAGGATGATAATCGATCGGTCTTTTGTGGCTTTGCAAGTTGGAGTAGAATTTGTCAAAAGGCCTCGAAGTGCTGTAAATTACAGGACTTCGTCGGACTCCGTGTCCATAATGTTCGGACTGCTCGTGTGAGGCGTTAAGGGGTTCATCGAAAGGTGTAAAATCTAGTAACTAGTTTTGGCCGCTTTTTTGCGTTGCCCAACCCTGCACAGAACCGCTTTTTTCCTCCTATCATCCTCATCTGTTGCGTTGCAGTGAACGTCTGAGGCTGTGGTACTTCTCCTTGATGGCCATGGGCAAGGTTTGAAACAGGACATGTAGAAGCGCTTCCTGCCCCAGCAAGAGCGGTGGCCCGTCTCGGTCGTACTGCGCCAGCCATTGCATACCAAGAATACTTCGTCCACATTCCTGAGTAAAATTTCCATGCCACTGAGTCAGAGAGTGTAAGTTGTAAAAGCGTTGTGAACTACATTTCTCAGTTTGTATCACGGACCTTTCCCGTTCTCATGTTGAGAAAGGAGCACTGCCCTTTCCTCGATGCATTTATGAGGAATCTTTTATTGGAATCTTGACACGGGGCTCCCTTCGTATTTTTGTTTTTGCAGGGACTTCAAATTTTTTGGACGGAAAGCATAGAGGAACCCAGGAAAGCTCCTAACAAACAAACAGGCATCTTGCCGCTGTTGTAACAGTGCGGTCTGCGCGCTCGCCCACACTCTGGACAGACGCTCACCAAATTTCTGGTCTACGTGGCCGTATGTGCAGAAACTGGCCGGGGTATATCGGGAGTATGAGGGTTGGGTGGAGCTTCTCGCAGCTGTAGAATTCAAGATGCAGCCCGCAACAATAGCAAGGAGTAGCAGCAGAAGCAGTAGAGTGGAGGAACAGAAGGTCTAGTTGTAGCAGGACACTTGCAGCAACCAGCAGCAGCAGCAGAAGCAATAAAGATAGAACTTTGCTATTGGATTCAAGATAAAGCGAAGGTTATTACCCTCCCACCCCCTACCCTCCCCCCCATCCCCTAAACGCCCGCCCAACCCCCCCCCCTCCCAACCCTGCCAACCCCCCAAAACCCCTCAACCCCCCATTGCCCCCCCAACCCAACCCCCCCAATCCCCCCCAACCCCCACATTTGGACCCAGGATCGATTAAGTGCACGTAGGGTACTGCTATTACTTGCTACTACAACGACTACTACGACTATTACTATTACTACTACTACTACTACTACCACTACTACTACTACTACTGCTACTACTACTACTGCTACTACTACTACTACTACTACTACTACTAGGTCCCCGGCGGGGAAAAAACCCACCAAGAAACAGAAACACGATGATATCATACAATGGTATCATAAGGTTTCCCCACTGGGCACCAATAATATCATAATGATAATGACAGCGTGCCCCAAA